CCCCCAAAACCCCAAAACCCCAAAACCCCAAACTCTCAAAATCAATAGAAAATTAATATATTTTTTACCAATGGGAAGGAAGAAGAGAGGTAAGAACCTGACTGGGTAGCAGGAAAGGGAAAAGAGGGATAAAAGAGGAAGAGGGAGGGAAATAGGGGAGAAGGGAATGGGAGAGAAGGAATGGGGTGTCTGGAGAGGTTGGATGGATGGGTGGGGTAGGGAGGGTGAGATTTTAGGGGTGATTTTGTTGGGTGATTGGGATTGTGGAGGAGGAATGGGAGGGTTAGGGGTGGGGGAGAGGGTAGGGAGGTGCTGGATGTGTTGGTAAGGTCTGTTAGGAAGCTGATTTTTTTAGATAGATTTTTGATATGATAGTTAGAGATTAATAGTCACTGAAACTTAAGCAACTTCTTCAAAATGATTATTTAAGAATATATTGTATAGATAACTCTGAAATCATAGAAATTTTTCTAAATTTGGTTATTGGTTTAGAATAAACTGGCTTAATACAGTTCACAACAAGTTCTAGATACAATCAATTTTCTCCGTTCTCAAAAGCTGTTAAACTTATGAGTATCATTTATCTGTTTTGGATAGAAATAATTTCGCTTTATTTCCAGTTTTATTCTGAAATCTCTCCAGCCCAGTAAGGTTAGATTTCAAGAACCTTGATTTTTTCAGTTGCCGATTGAAGATTATAGTAATGCCAGACTGGGGCTTAGAGGGGTGGAAAATAGGGTAGTTGGAAGAGTACTGGGGTCTTGAGAGGAGGGGTTAGGGAAAGAATGGGAAAGGGGATGAATGTTGTTTATAGGAGGTCTGAGAGGAAATCATGCGAATTATACGTTGATTCCGAGTACTGTTGAATATTCTGCGATGAAGCTTAGAGAATTGGCTCAGGAAAATGAAAAATTGAAGAATGCAATGAGGGATAGAGAGAAGGTAGAAGAAGGTTATAAGAATGTCATTAGTCAATATAAAACTGCATTAAAACAAAAGGATCATAACTTAGAAGTTTACAGGACTCAGCTGACCAAGCTGAGACAAGAGAATTCTGAAATGAAAGATATTTGTATACATAATCAAAATAAAGAAGGTGAGATGAAGCAAAAATAATTATGTTTTTCTTCACTAAGTATGAGCGAAATCTCTCTCCTTTATGGCCCATTAAAAGCATTTAAATTTTATGTTTGATTTAGAAGATATTACAAAGGCCTTACAAAAGGTAGATGAGCTTAAAAATGAACGAGACTCCCTTCATGAAAATCTTGAAGAGTATAAGAAACAAAAGAAAGAACTTGAAGAACTGAACAATTCCATTAGAGACAAATGTAAAGAAGATAAAAACAAATACAAAGCAAAGAAGAAAGAAATCATCAAGAAATATAATGAAAAGTGAGATTTTGTAGGAATATTTTATAGACTGGAAGAAGAAAAGAAAGAGCTTCTTGCTGAGATAGAAGAATACAAAGAGAAAATTCATAAACTTTCTTCAGAAGACTCACAAAAAAGAATCTCAAAATTAAAAGAAAGGAATCATAAAATAAGAAAAGAATTGGATGAAGTCATTCAAGATTTCGAAAAACAAAAGGAGGAGTACTCTCAGCTGAAGAAGAAATATTCACAACTTGAAGAGATGCTAGAACAAGCCCAACAAGAACCAGAAATTACTCTTGAAGAGTACAATGATTTAGCTTTAAAGTATAAAACATTGAAGAAAGATTACAAGAAACTGAAGAATCTCGCCTCTCCAAGTATGTAAAATCCTCTATCTTTACTCAAAAACATAACTTTTATTCCTCCTCCATCTGAAATAACTAATTTATTTGGGAGATCTGAAATCTGCCATTCCATTTAAAACAGCTTCGTAGCTAACTTCACAATAAAAATATTTAAGTCATCATAGGCCCAGTGATCAAAGCAGAAGATGAAGAAGCCAAAGATTTTAACCACAAAGACCAAAAGAAGGCGAAGAAGAATTCTAAGGTCGAGGAGAATAATGCTTATGAAATAGACATCAGCAAGTATAAGGTAGGAAGATCATAATTCTTTAGCTGGATTATCCATCTGACGATTCCAGAGGTTTTAACCAGGTAAGATAATTGAGATTAGCATTAATTAACACTAAAGTGTTATATTTTTGAGCATTTAGACTGAGAGTTGAAAACCTCAAAAGATTGTTTTCTGAAAGCTTAAAGGACTATGAAAGTTAGAGCCAATTGTTATTGAATATTTTAATAAACTCACGAAATTTAGTAAAAATAGTAGAAAATTTAATTTGCTATTTAATCTATCTTTTGATGTTAAAATATAGAGAGATTTACCATGATACTTTTTAGTAAAATTTAGCTTATTACTTTGCTGTTCTTCATTCTAATTGCAACCCTTAAGGTTCTATAAAAATTAATCATCACCTATAAAAATTTCTTTCTAATCAAATATCTTACATTCTTATCATTCAGGCAACAAAAAGCCAAGACTCAATAACCCACCTAAGCAAAAGTATCAACCTAAAATTCCCAAAAGAATCAAAAGAACCAAGAAAACCAAAACAAAACATCATCCAAAAACCCCCAACCCCCAACGCCCCAAAAGTCGCAAAGAAAGTTCGAAAACCCAAAAACCGACTATAAATTCCCTTCAATCTCCCCAAAACCCTCTCTTTCAATCCTTTCCACCAACCCCGGGGTTTTGGGGTTTTGGGGTTTTGGGGTTTTGGGG